TCGGGCCGAGAGGACACGCTCTTTCTCATCGGCTCGGTCGCTTCACAGTTCTCCAGAGGCCCGAGGAGGAATCAATCCATGATGGCAGCCTGGTGGAACACCATTGGCACCTTCTAGTGTCGTTCCTTGGACGCATCCTGCGATGCTCTGAATAGATCGCCCATCAATCGTCGCTCCCGCCCACCCTAGCTCCTAATAACCTCCGAATCCCCCCCGCAGGTAAATGACCCGGGTGATTTGGGCGCAGCGCCCGGACAATCGGCAACAGGCGAGGACATTCCGAAAAAAGAAACGGGGCCGGCGTAGGAGGGGAGGAGCCCAGGTCTATTATTAACAGGCCCGGCGCATCTGGTCAGTGCACTCCGCGCGCGTGTGCCTTGCAATTCTCTGTGAATGTTCTGGATAAAGTGGATCATGCGAAAAAGGGGCGGGCCCCATTGGCAGGGCCGCTGCACATTCTTCACCTCCCTCATCTCCAGAACAATCGCCGTTGCTGGAGTGTCACTAGATGGGCCTCGGTGAAGAAACATCTCAATCGAGAGATTGGCTTTTCGCCTCTCTCGGAGCGCAATGCAGGTACGAGAGATAAACAAAGCTGGGCGTCGCCGCTCGCAAAGTTTAAACAAGATTAAATGCTGCTTACTCACACCTCTGGTTGCGTTGAGTTTCTGCAAGGGACGAACACCCGCCGTGTCTGTCACCTCGGTCCCGCGATGACATTGCAAGCAAGCAGAGGGATTTCAAGGAACGAGTGGGAGGGAACTGCCGGTTTTCAGAGGCTGAAGCAGGAACAGCGCCGTCCCGCCGCGAAGGAGAGTGGGAGAGAGAGGCTCAGCGAGTGTCAGCAGCACGGATTGGAGACGGATGGGTGGCACCTCATTCGACGAGGAGGCGTTCGGAATGTGAAACACGAGACAAGCATTTCCCCGCAAGCCGCTATTCTGGCAGTCACTTTAAATTAATTCCAGGGTGCAAGCCTGGTTGCGCGTGCACTGAGGGAGGGAGAATGTGTGTCAGTCATGATTCGGCGATTCTGCAGCAGCTAGATGTCTGGCGACGAACTGCAGTCTGGCACCTGTGAGGTTTTCGTATGAATGAATGGTTACATGGAGGCATAGCCCCTCTCCCACCTCGTGTTGCGGCAGACTAGTGAAAGCGACGCCTGGGTCGTAAATGAAAATGGGAAATTCTCGGTGACGATGAACCCTTCCCTCCGGTTGACTCGGATCGCTGGATGCTCTTTTACGGCGGGATGGCCCCAAGGGGGGAGGGCGTTGCGGCCAATCACAGCAGCCAATTCCGGTTGTTCGGCATGGGAAAACGAGTGAAACACAGCCACAATTCACCCCCGTTTTCTGTGTCTCTGAATACCTACGAAGTGCAGTAGCGAGTGAGGTGCTCTGAGACATGGAAAATAGGGAACAAGTGGCACTGCTTATGCCTTGTGTCTTGTATTATTGGGGACCCTGGGGGAGAGAGTGAGGCTTTGTTGGTGCATGCTGTGGCAGCTGGGGCGCGGTGTGCCCCCTTCTCGGACCCTGATTGCCTGAGACGGCGGCCCCTCCCCTGGATAGATTGCCTCACCTTCCTTCACCTCGACCCATCCCCTTGCTTCTTTCCCGGTGTCCGCCTCCTCTCCTTCCCCGTGTTTTCAGCAGCAGCAGCAGCAGCAGCAACAGCGTTTGGCTTTGCCCAAAATTCCACTCCTTCCTTCCATTCCATTTGCCTTCGTCCCTTCCGCCCAATCTTTCTCCTGCACAAAACTCAAAATCCTTCTTCGTCACTCATTCAATCCATTTCTACCTCCCCAGTGCCTCGCTCCCCTTCCCCCCTCTTGGCGCTCGCTGGCCACCTTTTGCGTCTTCCTTCCTTTTTCACAGCCCTTTTATTCTTCATCGTCGCTCCTTGCATAAACCGTTGACACTTGAGAGAGAGAGAGGGATTACGATTGCAGGGTCGCTCCGAATCAGTTTCACCACAAGCGAATCCAGGGGGGAAACATCCACTCTTTGCAGAACGAAAGCGGTCGCCCACCGCTTGCCGTCCGCCGTCCGCCTCCGTCGCAGCTGATCTGAGGAATTCGAGAGGGAAGCAGCAGCACGCACGCAGCGACAGACAATTTTTTTTTTTTTTCTTCGCGACAGCAAACGGAAAGGGTCATACACGAAAGGGACGGAACAAAAAAGCAACATAAACTACAACACGCGACGCAAGGGTATCGAATTGGCCTGGAGCCTGAGAAAAGGAGGTCGACCCCATCCACGCAACCCGAGCAATCACCGAATCACGGAATAACGATCGCATCACCAACGAATACCTCCTTACTCACCCACCATGAGCTTTTCGACATCCTCATTCGCGCGCCGCGCCGACAGCCTCCTGGCTCCCGTCGCCCGCACTCTCCAGCACCTCGCCGCGCGCGACAGCTGCGAACCCGGCGACACCAGCTCCCGCTGCGAGAAGCCCTTCGCCTCGTCCAAGATCATCGGCATCACCATCGGTATCACCGCGTACGTTCTCCCCCTCTCCTCTCCCTGACGAACCATCCCTTTTTGCCTTTCTTCCCCTGGCTACCCGCGTCATGCATTGACCAAAACCGGGATTTTGGCACTGCCCGAGCACCACCCTCCGTCAAAATGCAACGTTCCCGCGACCGTCCAAACTTTCCGTCCGAAGTCGAGAGATTGGAGGCTAACCCATGACGTTGCAGAGCCGTCCTCATCATCGGCACCGTAGGAATGTTGACCTTCCTCCACATGAGGAGGCAACGCATCGAGCGAAAGGAGGACGCGGTCGACTTCGAGCTCGACGGTGACGTCGACGACCACCCGACGATGGGCAAGCCCCCCGCCTCGTGGCAACGTAATAACCAGAGACCGCAAGAGAACCCCTTCGAGCCGCAGCCGCACCAGCAGCCGCAGGAGAATCCCTTCGAGCCGCCGCGACGGAACCAGGCGCACGCGGCTGAGCTCCCGTAAATGGGGCTTCCGCGTCTCCTGGCGTTAGTAATGTGTCGTTTATTGGGATGGCATCGAAGGGATTGCGTGGGACTGTTCTGTCTTTTGGAGGGGCCTACGTTGCACAAGTCATGCAGTTCACTCTGCTGGTCTGCTGCTCTGGGGGGCCTCTGACGACTTTGATTTGATCAACTACATTTTGCGAGCATGGCGTTGCGTCGTTTCGTACCATTCTGTTCCGCCGATGGGAGGAGAGGGAAGGTTGTAGGGCCCGTTACGAATTCCATGGTCTTGCGTGTCGCTGAACCAACTCATTCGGGGGCCTGGCTTGGACATGCGCCGCGTTGGATAGGAGAAGTCTGGGCGGGGAGAGGATGAATCGCCACCATGGGCACCATGTACAAATTTCATCATGGCACAACCGTGCTGATGTCCCGTGATAGGGACAGATGCTAATCATGGAGAGGAAGGATGGCTCAGAGTTGCGGGAGGGTCCCGCGCTGGCGGTCCTGGTGATGGGGAGGCTTGTTGTCTAGTCAAGAGATGACCGCGAGACGTTTGTGATGCTGCACGTCCAGCATAATTCAAAGCATTCACGATACTTTTACCACTACGTGACCCCGCGAAGACGTTCCTGAGCCTGGTCCTGAAGACAGGTGTACACCGCTGCGGAGACTCCGTCCAGCCTAACGTCAAGTCTCAGTGCACGAGGTGCGATATGTGAACGACCGATTGTAGTAGTTGACGTTCACGTCGCCACGCTATTCCAGACGCTATTCCAGCTGAGCTCCTCCAAGTGGTTGATTGGCTGTCTCTATCTGATTGACATGCCAAAGCTGCATCGACTGCCAAATCCAACCCCTGTGAACGACGTCGCTAGTCTATATACAGACACCTTCATGAATTTCCTTCATCTTATTTCTGCACATAAATAGCAGTTGACAAGGCAGCGCCCAGATATCCAAATGCCGCACGTGCTCATCGCGAATACTCTAGTAGTCGGCGTTCAGCCTTTCTGCGGGGTGTCTGTGTTGACTCGCGGTCCTCCTAGACGCAGACGTGGTTGGAGCAGGTCAAGCCCGAGCAGCACCGCATGTACATCGGGTTGGTGGGCGTAGTCGCGCAGCCACCTGGGTTGTTCAAAAGGTGTCAGCAATCTATGCCATACTCTTCACGCGTTGTCTTGGACGGGACTGGGGGGGTCAATTACCTCCGGCTGTGACGCAAGCGCCGGCCTGGCGGTCCTGGAGCTCGCCGGCCATGACGGCGGCGGCGTTGACGAGGAGGGCGGCGAGGATGGAGAACTTCATCTTGATGGCAGGAGTGGCTCGGAGAGGGGTCTGGGTGTGGTGGTCTGGCGGGATATTTGTAAACGTGGGTGAGTTGCGAAGGAGACACTGGAGGATTCGTGGCGCTATTTGTACTTTCAACGAGATTTCTTTTCGACTTGACGATCTCACGATAGCCTCCGCGATAGCATCTTCTGGGTCGCTCGTATAATTAGTTTATCAGATCATCTGATTAGATATTGTTCCCGGACAATGTCTAACGCCCGTGGGGTGAAGTTTGCGCGGGTTAAGCACTTTCGCACCGCAGTGTTTGCTGGTCACCTGAGCCGCCTGCTTCCCACGGGTACAAACACGATGAAATACAAGATATATCATATTTCCCTACTTCATTCCTTACGCAACGGATACGCAACAGAGATGATGGTAAACTACGGGGAATGCATGTCAAAATCGTGAGGTTGTGTAAGGACTGGCCGCAGTGAAACTCGTTTCACTTTTCTTCCGAGTGATAAGAACTCGTCCCGCTGTCCCATTGTAGTTCCTGTTGGCTTGAATATCTCGTATTGAAACGAGGCTCCGGGATCGACGACCGGAGAGTTCCCAAACATCACGTGGTTTAACTCGGTGCTATCGGACGCCAGTCGTATTTCATTCAGTCCTCAACCACCCGTGATTACTCTTTATCATCATCACGACAGCTGAGAAATCCATGGCACATAGTTCGTGATCTTAGTTCGGCGGTACATACCCACAGATGGCAGTCGAGGCTCACGAAGATGTAGACCAGGACGTCATGTCCCATCAAGACAATACGCCCCTGCTGCATGCACATGATGAACCGTTCAAACCGCAGGCAAAAGACATCTGGCTGGAGGTCCGACTCCTCCTCAAGCAATGTCCGCCTCTGGTAGTCACCTACCTCCTGCAATTCTTTCCCAGCGTCCTCGCCACGCTCATCGCCATCTTCGGCTCCGCCTTCGTCTCAGGCATGGCCGCCCCAAAGCTACGGCTCCGGCGACATCCACACCGTCGGCATGCACGTGCAGAGAATGGTCCTCCTCATGGAGCTTGTTTGCGTCCCCATCGCCGCGTTCTGGATCGCCTCACCGTTCCTCCTCTCCTTCTTCGTCAAGCAGCCCCATCTTGCCCTCAAAGCCGGCACCTTCCTCCGCATGAGCGCCATCGGCCTCCCAGCCCAGGCCCTCTTCGAGGCCGCGAGGCGGTTCCTGCAGGTCCAGGGCGACTTCCACACCGCCATGCTCATGATCGCGCTCTGCACGCCCGTCAACGCGCTCCTCAGCTGGACCTTGGCATTCTCGCTGGGAATGGGTCTCGACGGGGCGGCCCTCGGCTCCTCGCCGAGCCAGATCCTACGCGCGGCGCTGCTTCTGCTCAACATCGCCTCCGCGCGCGGCAGGTGGTTCCGTCGCTGCTGGGGCGGCTTCTCGCGCGACGCGCTGCGCGGATGGGGTCTGATGGCCCGGTTGTCGGTTGCCGGGTCCGTGGCGACGCTGAGCGAGTACGCTGCGTTTGAGACTCTGTGCTTCTCGACGTCGTATTTGAGCACGAAACGCCTGGCTGCGCAGTCGATTCTCACCACGACGACGATCTTTGTCTGGCATGTGCCCTTCTCCATCAGCGTGTTCAGTAATCGTATCGGACACCTTGTCGGGGCGGGGCTTGTTGGGGCGGCGCGGAGGGCGGCGGTTGTGCATGGGGTTGCCTGGCTTGCGGCCGGGTGCCTGAGTTGTCTGAGTGGGGCCGTGACGTTTCTGTTCCGGCGGGAGTTGCCGAGGGTATTTACTGACGATGCTGATGTTTTGAGAATTTGCGCGGAGACTATCGTCGCAGTGTGCTTTTTTCAGATGGCTGAGGCGATGCTGTGCGGGACGAATGTGATGCTGAGGGGCCTCGGGCGTCAGTCGTTTGCGGCGTATGCTGTGTTTGGAGTGAATTACCTTGCGGTTGTACCACTTTCGATCTGGTTAATGCTGGGTAGTCCTCATTGGGGACTTCTTGGGTTTTGGGTTGGGCTGCCGGTTGGGTTTTGGATCATCATATGTGTGCAGGCTGCGTATATGAGAGCGATCAAATGGGAGAAGTGTGTTGATGAAGGTGTGGTGCCAGTTGAGTCTTAATGTCTGCCTCGGGTTCTGGTATGGTCGGGTCCAGTTTCCAATGGATATCCAAAATTTCCAAGTTACAGGTGCACTTTCACACTGGATAGAATTTATGAACCCTTAGCAGACATGGTCACAAGCGTTTTTGCGTTTGCCATTAGTAGAGTCAGACAAAGCTGACAGTTAAGTCGATCCGCGCCCTAAACTGTCAGTGTATTTTGTTGTCGTCCTTGTCAATACAAGAGCAGGCAGGTGCTAGTACTACCTTCCCTTCCTGCCTTTCCTATCTCTCACTGATGTCTTCCATCCTCGTCCCACACTGTCATTCTGGGTCTCTCTCGTCCTGGGTCTCTATCTCTGTCGGTTTCGTTCACTTTTATTATCTCTCACCGCCCTGCGCCTCTGATTCCCGCCGGCTCTCTCGTCCCCGGCTGGCTCTGTCGTTCTTGTCGCCGTCGTCCCTCATCATCCCTCTCTGCCGCCTATTCCGAGGTTAGAAGATATGCCTCCCAGACGAGGCAACAAGCCCAGCTGGGCCTACGATGCTCACAAGAAAGCCGGGAAGGTACGGATTCATCTCAAAATCTCGCGATCCATCTAACTCCTTCCAGTTTCAAACCCGCCGGCCTCAGGAGATCCCGACCCCGGTCCCTCCTCCCTTCCTCCCCGGCAACCCACCGCCCATCGTCTTGCCCACCACTTGGCCGCGCTTCGAGATATTCGCTCGACCAATTCCACTTCAAAACGGCTTCTATGAGTTAGTTTATGTGCAAGTCCCAGAGATGATCGTTCTTGGCATCACACCCATCGAATCTGGCGATCGACTCAGACCCGCGTTTGTGAAGGCGTGGGAACGATCCAACGAGATGATGCGGGGCCGCTATGGGGTCCGCCTTCCGATCTGGATGCGGCCTAAGTCGCGTTGGCAGCGAATTCTGGAGATGGTGCCGTACGGGGCGAAGACTGAGGTCATGATCAATCTTATAGCTCTTGCCGTCATCGGCCTCGCTATAGTTGGTATTTTTGTGGTTTGGGAGGCTCGTCACCTTTCAGGCATCCAGACATGCAAGAAGTTCTGCAGATAGGCGGAGGTACACCGCGCGTGACCCGTGGACTGCGGAGAGCGGGCTTTCAGAGAGCAAGTTGATGAAACCAGAGGGGAAGATGTCAATCACAGTCTATGCTAAGGAAAGAGATCATGTTTTCACGGGGCGGAAGGCTAAGGCGGAGGGAGAGTTTGCCTTTGTGAACGCAGCACCAACTCAAGCATGAGGGGCGATACGCTTGAAGAAAATCCCAAAGGTGTTCTGTACCTTCCTGAAAGTAGATTAAAAACCAGACCACAGCAATGAGCTGGAGGGACTCAGACTGGGATTGCAGTAAAATCAGACAAGCCCTTTGTGTGCGCACCTGTTTCGTCCTCGCTGCCCTCACCACAACAACAGACCTTCCTTTCAGCAACCACCTTTCACACAATCTCCTCCTACACAACAAAAACAATAGCAATATTGCACTTCTCTTACTCACCATCCCTCACAAAAGCCTTTGCTCCTTCACAAATCAGACTGTGGCATTGTTTCGAATTTGTTCTCTTGCAATCGCGCGCCACTTTCAGAACCCTCGTCAAAGCATCAACAAAACAACGCTTATCCACGCGCTTGCCCCAGTCGCATTCAGACACAATGCTGCAACCTCCTAATAACCGCATGCAAGTTGACGACCAGGATGACTTGCGCGTAAGTTGTTTTGTATACTCGCACCGGAGCTTTCCGCTAACCGCGTTCCTCGTGCAGTACATCATGGACATGTTCCAATACCACACGGCTGAGATGACGGCAGCCAAGGACAACCTCAAACAGATGCAGTTGGCTCTCGAAGCCAAGTACTCCAAGCTGCAGAAGCTCCATGGCATTTTCCAGCGATACGTCCGACAGAACCCTGGCATCTCTATTCCTGAAGATCTTCACTTCCGTGGAGAGAGAGAGCTCCAAGTTCGCACGGCAGGATCGGTCGACTATGAGGTTTACGTGCTCAACGCCGACATCAACCAGGATGAGAGCGGCAACTTGACTCTGGCTGGTCCCCACGGCCACCCCAACGTGGGACAGACCCAGCGCGCCCGCAGTGGCAGCCTCCCTCGCGCCCGAGTCTTCGCACACGAGATGCCTCGCGATGAGGTTGACCGCCTCACCGCCCTCTACGAGAACCAGTCGCAGAGCCCTCCTGCCACTCTCACTGACATCCACGAGCGCGCCCACGCCCATGCCGCCGCTCACGCCTACAACGACGACGGCGAGAGCGTTCAAGTTGCTGAGGCTGTTGAAGTTCCTCTGGCCCAGGCCGCCGAGGCTGTGCAGGTTCCTCAGGCCGCTCAACCCGCTGAGCAGGCCCAAATCTACGAGAACTATGGAGGCATCAGTCCCAATCCCACGGGCCGCAGGCGTATCGAGGGCCACCCTGGATACTACGGCTTCGATGTCTCCCAGCGACAGGAGGGACTTGATGCAAGCTCGTACCGTGGTAATTGGATGCGTGGTAATTGGATGCGTGGGCTTCCGCCAAATGATCCCCTTCAAGCCATGGCCTCGCCCGCGGCTGACCCCCTCGCGTGGCTTCAGGACAACACCCCGCCGCAGATCAACTCCATCACGCGGTCCTCGCCTGACCTGCGAACCCTCTATTCTCTGGAGAGGTACCCGGCCAGAGACTACACCTCGAACCCCCCGTACCCCCCGACGACGACGCAGGAGTCCAACCAGCCGATGGGATCGTCCTCTACGGCTGATGCCTTCACTGGGGCCCAGTACGAGGTCTTTCCTGAGGACCCTTTGATGGAATTACTTGGCAGGCTAGTAGCACAGGACGGTATGCCATCCGAAGGGGAAATAATGGAGAGACTTAACTTTCCCGGCGACGCTGCGGACTACATGGTTGCAGAGGACTTTGACGAAACCTACGCCGAGGAGAACGACGTCGAGGATGCCTTCATCAAGGAAGAGGACACGGATGGAGACGACTTTTACATCAAGGAGGAAGACTCGGACGGCATGGATATGGAGGAAGTCCCCATCAAGGAAGAGGACACCGACAGCGACTACATCAAGGACGAGGAGACGAAGGATTGGTTCTTTGAGGACCGATACTGACGCTGCTGATCCGGGCTGTTTGGTTACTTCGTTTTGAGGATACTACACTTTGGGCATTGGCTTCATCTACGACTTGGGTGGATGACGAGATGAGCCGCTGGACACTTGCTGCTGCTGAATTTTGGGCAGATAGAGGCAAGGCAGAGAGAGGGTGGAATTGCCGTCGCTTCATAAGACTGCTGCCTCCACAGATTGGGCACTTGATAGTAAATTTGATTCTTTCTCACATTTGATCGTTCCTTCCCATTCTTGGAGATTTGGGGAAACTCGCTTCACCTTCTGAAAATTCTGCCAAAGAGCCACAAGTCAAGCTTGCTCAGGGACCTATTGACCAGTGCCTGCAAGTGCTTGAAATTTGAAGCAAAGCAGAAATATTTCTTTATCCGTCTACCTGAGCGCCTCTGTGTTTGAACACTGGGAGGAAGGCTGATGGGAATTTTCACGACGACCTTTGATAGACCACCAGCCAACTGTTACCTGTATCACGACGACTTCATGCGTGGAACAGACATCGTCAGAACAGACACCCACCGCTTGACCTCTCCCCTTCAGCGCGCTGTTCCTACTCAAGGCGACCACTACCACCACAATCCTCCTCTCCTGCTCGCCAAAGGAGACAAGATGCTCCAGCCCACGCCTGACCCGTATCTCCACATGGAACAGAGCGACATCGAGGTACACAACTTCTTCTCTCCCTCCCCCTCCCTTCCTTCCTCCAATCTCACCCCCAAATCCCCTCATTCGAAAACTTCCATCATCTTCCACAAACTAACATTATGAACCGCTCCCAGCAAGCCGCGGCAGACTACCGCCGCGCCATCACCGAGATGCAAACCCTCAAGCTCCGCTCTACCACCGAGCACAGCATCCGCGAGACGCGCCTCCAGCAGCTCCAGGACCGCGCCGACGCCGCCCTCCACGAGGCGCACGCCATGCTCGAGCTCGCTGACTTGCAGTACGCCGACTTCCTCGCCGCCAAGAAGCGCTGCGACGATGTGCGCCAGAAGTACACCACCGAGCGCCGCGAGCTGATGGCCACGCACCTCGAGGTCGGACACATCCGCGACGTGCTGATGGAGCAGCGTGAGGCGGTCGTCAGGGAGGCGAAGGAGCTCCGGGAGGCGCGCAGGGTTGCTGCTGATAGCGCGCAGCAGCTGGAGGCCTGCTTGGTGAGGGAGAAGGAGCGGCTGGATAAGTTGAGAGTGAAGATCGAGGCGAAGGAGAAGGTTATTTTGCATAAGGAGAAGAAGATTGCTCAGGAGAAGGTGAAGATTGAGGAGGCTAAGAGGGAAGCGGCTAAGGGAGGGGTTTGGGGATACGTGATTGCTGTCAGTGAGCGCCGCAGCATTTGAGAGTGGCAGACAGGAGACGTGAGACGCATGCGACGGTACATCACAACACACGTTGAAGGAGAGACACGAAGAACTGTTGGAGTACGCCCACAATACGATCGAATAGTTCAGGAATGGAATCACAGTTAACCACAAGCAATGTTTATCTCATGGCGTATCTGTGATGCTTCGTAGGATTTGAGCCTAGAGCCTGATCATCTGTCGGGGTGTGATCGTCCGATGTCGACGTCTTGATTCAGCGAATAGGACTGACAGGTATATGAAGAATGCCCAGACCGCCTTTCTCACCTGCGTGAGTTCACATCCATCACACGATTGACCTACTCTCGACGAAAGGATCACCAAACCATATCGGAAATGATGGGAGCCAGCACTGCAAGTAATGTAAGTCTTCGTTCTGTGTACGGGCGATACGAGCTAATAGCAAATCCGAGAAGACATCCAGCGACACCCAAGTCGACTGTTCCTTGAGCCAATGCGCAGAGATCCTAGGACTCCTCGCAGAGTTCAAAGACCTCCCAGATATCCCCAAGCCAAGCTCTGACGTACGTTGCCATCCAACCTCCCGTTTGAAAATTCCTCGTATCGAATTGATTGAAACTCCAGCTGATCCTTCTGCCCTATCCTAGTCTCGCGTCCAAATCCAAACATGTACCATCGTCGAGCTTTCAGCACAAAGACGAGCGCTGGACCAAGCTGGCAGAATGCTCTGCCGGAGGCTCGGCCTCATGATTGAAGAAATCGGCAGGGGCGGTAGGCCAGTGCTGAGTAACGATATGAAAAGCACGACTGGGAAGCTGCAGCTTCACGTTCTGACGTCGAGGATGATGATGCCTGGGCCTGCAGTCCAATCGCAGAAGACTCCAAAACCCTCCCCGAGCCAAGAACCGTGGTAGCTAGCAAATGTCGGCGTTGGAGACGCGCGACGGATAGCGCTTAGGTAGAACTAAAACATAATCAAAAAAGTCAGCCAACTGAAGAGATAATCAAATTCGTTGCATTGGCTTCCACTTACCTAACCAAAAGCTCAGTGATCTCAGGAATGACGTCCTCTCTGAGCTTGCGGACGACATCTCCCTTGTAGCGAAGCTCCTCAGCGGTCTCAGCGCCGAGCATCTGACGTCTGTTCAGCTCTCTCTCAAGGTCAGTGACCATGGTCTGGACGCGGAAGACGTTCTCTTGGAGGCGTCTCTTGGCCTGGATATCCCGCATCTGAGGGTCCTCATTATCCTCGCGATGGTAGTCAGCGACAATCTCCTGGTTGTAGAGCGACATGGCGAAGATGAAGGCCTCAAAGGTCTTAAGGGCAGTCCTTGGAAAATCTCCAGCCAAGAAAGCGGCTACGGCAGGCATGAAGTAGGTGTCGAAGTCCTCCGGAGGAGCAACATTGGGGATGAACCTGTGAACACGCTGGCGAAGAGCGATGCGGCGGCGGCTGTAACGCTGGTGCTGGAATGAATTTCTGTTAGAAGCGTGACAAAACAAACTGGAGTGTGACAAGGGAAACAGACCTGAGTGATGGTAACGGCCGGCCGGTTAGTGGTACGCAGCTGGTTGGAGGTAGGCAGAGCCTGAGCGAGAGATTGGAGGTTGAGAGCCTCAGTCTCAATCTCGTGCTCAGGAACCATCTGGCCATTCTCATTGAGGCCGTTCTCAACAACGCGCGACACCTGCCCTATGGTGGTGACTCTGCCCTGGTGAGGCATCTGATCTGCCATTTGGCCGCCATGGTCGGTGTCCATGTTATCTCCCTGATATATTATTAGCATAAAATTTGGAATGAGCGCGAAGTCATACTCACGTTCATCGCAGCAGATTTTGTGGATGAAAGAAGAATTGGTGTGGTGTTTTGTTGCCGGCGAAGTTGCAAAGTCGACAACAAAGTTGGAAAGAGGAGGAGGGTGGATTGAAAATCACAAGAGTTGTTCTTCAGCAGCAGGCGCGCGTGAAGATGTGAAAATGTGGTACGTGCACCCACCTTTGGACAACCAACAATAACAATAGGAGGTTGAGCACAATGAGAGCCCTGGTGAGGTCGGAGGGAGAGGGAAAATTTGTCAAAGGATGGCAACAAGTCAAAAGAAGGAAGGCGCACACAACCATCAGGACAAAAGTTGCAAGAGCAAAAAAGTGTTTTTGTATTCGGGGTATCAAAAGGCGAGCCAGTCGGCTCACTGGGAACTCAGAATCAATCAAGTGGACATTATCTGCCGAAAGGCGATGCGCCGCATTGTAAACACGTCCTCTATCTGCATCTTGACGATGCCAAGCTCACGACCAGTGGCTGCCAAGGTCTTCTTCGTAGCATCCAACTCGTCCCGAAGCTCCTCAGCCTTCTCCTTGAGGCGGAGCTGATCCCCAGACACCTTACTGTAGCCCTGACCGTTGACAATGTTGGAAGCAAGCGTGAAAAGATCGCGCACCTGCTCCTGCTGCACTCGGGTTAGCTGAGCTTGGCGAGCTATCCGGACGATTTCGGAAGCATCGCTCTCAAAGGTCGCAATCGAGAGCTCGCTGGAAGGAGGAGGTGTTCCTGTCTACATTCAAGTCAGCAAGGGAATCCCAACTGAGTAAGTCCGCATTTGATATGCTCGAAGTGCTGCCGCTTGTCTGCCTTCTCCCCACGCCGGCTGGCAATGCAACCACGTGTACCCCTCCAGACAAAGTCCTTCTGCAGCGAAGCGCGCGCGAGACACCTTCAAGCTGCCCTCTTCACCGTTTCCCACCCGGATCAGACCTGGGCGTGCCTCCCACTGTGCTGAGACCCCGCGCGAGCAGGTGTTCAGATGGGAGCGGGAGACGGCATGGGGGAGCGATCACTGCGAAGGGCAACCAAGCCGGCACGAGCGCCAGCGAGGGTCAAACAAGGATCCTTTTCAAGAGGCGCTCAGGCGATTTCTCGAGGCGGCGAAAGATCCGCCCCGAGAAGCCCAAGCAGCTCACGAAGTGGTAAGGCCTGTAACTTTTACGCCCTTCGCCATGACACGTGCAGACTCAAGGCAAAAGAAAGCACACAAATGAGAATGAATGGACTTACCATAAGGTGATTGTTGCCATCGACGGTATCTTGGGCATTGGTGGTGCTGGCGGAGGAGCTGAGCTGTTCCAGAAGGCGCGTCAGTGGGTGGTAAAGGAAGGAGCGGGAAGGCAAGTGTGAGATGGAATGACGTCCAGAGGGATGAGAAGTGTGGGATGGATGAGAGGAAAAACACGTACCATGGGAGCCTCATTCGCAGCAACGCCGCTTGCATGAGATGGCTCGAAGTCCATTTGTCCAGGAGTGGGAGAAATGTTTGCGAAAGCTGGGATCGGAGGGAAGAAAAACACCTTGGTATGGGTAAAGGGCCCAAAGAGAGAAAGAGATGAGAAATGAGGGAGAGAGTCGTGGTTTGGAGAAAAGCATAAGGCGGAGGAGGAGGTGAAGAAGAGGAAGAGGGGAGGCAGGGGGGGTTTAAATACTTGAAAGCAGGGCTGAGGGCAGACGAGACGATTTACTGATTGTGCGCCAGCCGACGGTACGTATCGGGCCTCTTTTAGACCAGCCAATAAAAAAATCGAGATGAGGCGGCCGCTCGTGGTGAACGAAGGCAGGAGACGGTTGAAGCTGAAGGTCGCGGCGAGAGCAGACCAAAAGTGGATACGGCGGGTTGCCAGGTGAGATCTCAGGTTGGGAGAGCGTGCGTGAAGGTGAGACGAACCTGGCCCATACTCGGTAGGTAGGTATGGTGCCTAGGTAGCTTATCTGCCTGGGTCGTCCAGATAAGGAGGAGCTGCATATCTAGAACTTCAGCAAGAGCAAGAGTCCGAGTCACGCTGAAGTCTTGCGGAGGTCTGCGTTCTCATCAGCTGCGATCAGAGCCCAGCAAATTCGGCAACGTCAAGCGTCAATTCACCATCCGTACAACTCGCAGTCTTTTCTCAATCTCTGATAATGGGAGCCCATCTGAAGAAACCTGGAAAGAAGCAGCGTCTGGGGAGAAAGGAAGCAAGACGCCGTGATACCCAGGCCGCTGCTGAAGCTGGCACGAAGCTCTCAGCGATGAATACCTACTTTCCCTCGTCCGTATCCGAGGCAGCAAAGGCATTCGGCGTCAGCCAGAACGAACAGACCGATGGACTGAATGTCGCCTTGGAGCCTCAGAAAGAAAGTAGGCCTTTCGCCCATGGCCATCAGTTGGCCGCCCCCAGCACCAGCTGACAATCCCTTCCTCAGAGGGCCAAGAAGCTCAAGCAGAAGATCACTAGAGGCCAGTTTGACGATCTTCGGCGACGTCTGAAGCTTCTGGAGCTCCATGTCGAAGCTGCCGCCAACATCTTCAACAAGATGAATACCGACCACATCGCCAAGGACGTCAAGAACCTCATCAGAAACTTTTCGGCTCCCTGTGCCGACGGAAGAGCGATTCGAAGCACGGCGAATGATGCGCTGGCTGGTGTGAACCGTCTCGAGACTTCCGTGAAGAATCTCGAGGCTGGCATGGGGAACCTGGAAGCCAGCCTGAAGGATCTGACGGCTGACGTGGAGGACCTTACGGCTGCCTCCGCAAAGCAAGCTCAGAGCATCGAGAAAATCCGAGAAAGTCACCAGGCAGAGATGGCGCCGAAGAGGGAGAAGTTCGATGCCGCGGTCAAGACCATGGAGGAGCGGATTTCTGCGATCGAGAGCCAAGTCGAGCAGCTGGTGAAGGGCGCCTCGACGAGCGCAGCTCAACAGCCCGCCGACTTGCCCAAGGATGGTCGAGCTCAGGAGGTGTGGAAGGGACGACTTCGGTCTGGCAGAAAGGGATGATTACGAAGTTGGTGGCTGAAGTACATTATGTTGACCAAGTATGGGATGAGTCTTGGCTTTGGGGAGTGTCACAATGAGATCAAAGTCGCATGATAGTCACAACAAAGAATGAACCATGGTAAAGGCGAAGAAGTACAAAGCCATTAAAGAAGGAGTTATTCATCATCGTCAAAGGAGTATGTTTGCGCAGAATCCTGAATCTCAGTCGTTGGCATAAAGCGCTCTTCGATCAGACTCTTCAATAATCCTGCGCGGACGTGCCATGTTCAGATGAGCCACCTCTGCCTACCACTCCTGAGCAGCATTCTCAATCATCTGCACCTCATAGGCAGTCTGCGCAGCACTCCAACCTTGCAGCTGTTCAGTGCATTCCTTGTCCCAGGCATTGTTGGCCTTGGCTCTGGCCTTGGCCTCCTGGCGGTGCTGCTCAGACTCCTGTCTGACTTGCTGCAGCTCTTTCTCAACGGCCTCATACTTGACACGGAGGTCCAGGAGCTCCATCTTCAAGTCTCTGGAGATCTGGACCTGCCCCTTGAGCATGACCGCCAGCTCCAATGCGGTTTGGTTGACCTTTGGCATGTTGTCGCTCTGCTTAGTGGCCATGCGGCGGGGGGCGCGAGCCTTAGACATCCAAAAGTCAGCTGAGACAAAACACCAACACGTACAGATTGAAGGCTAAAGATGGACCTACCTTGAAGTTCACATCAATCTGGATCAGATCGCGCATGTAATAGCCACCGGTAGCAGTGGCCGAGATGTGAGAGGCAGTCTGCTACATCCAAAGTCAGTTGATGTCGAACACAAACTGAGTAAGTCCAAAAACACTCGTTCCGTGTGAAGAAGCCGCTCGCCCGCACCCTACCAGGCGGCATAACCGAATGACGAGCACTCCCGTATGTCACTCTCACGCGGTTGAATGGCCACGTCCCCCTGGGTGCAGTACCCGTCGGCATAAAGCTCTCCTGTGCGGTTGCCAAACCATTCGAAGCGAGGTCGCATAGCGCTCCACCTCGGCCGTCCCGAAGGCAGACCTTGGTGAAGAGCAGTGGCCCGGTGGGTCGAGAAGGTCGCGAGGGAGATGGCCTCCTCGCAGCCGGCCAGCCGGCGTTGAGGAGGGACCAAGCCCTCAAGGGGCAGTCGGAAATTCTGACACAAGCGAAAGATCTCGTGCCCGACGCGAACTGCTTCCCTGCGTGGCAGACTCGGAACTTTTCCCTCCCTCATGTCCTTGAAGGCAGGCTCGCGGCAGAGAAAACAGACGAGTGTGGATGTATGAAAGATTGGACTTACGGTCTGAGTAGGGCTCTGGCAAGGACGAGCGTCGACAGAAGCAGTGGCCTGACGAGAGGCAGTCGGAGACTGAGGAGGGGCAGCTAGGCCGCGAGAGGCGGTAGTGGTACCATTGGTGACCGGGGGAGCAGCCGGGGCCTGGATTGAGTTAGATGAGAATCAAAAGTGAAGAATAATAGTAAAGAGACTCACCGCCCCGTTGACGGTCTTCATGTCGATGATCGTACGCATCTTTGTGATGATGTGCGGATTTTGGTCGTGGATTGACTTTTTTGGATGGACGAAAAAGACGTTTTCGGTTGGATGGGAAGGAGGATGAAAAAAAGGAGATGTAGATGCTCAAGTTGAACGAGTTGAGATGGAAAAAGGACCTAGGGTTTGGACGAGACAGGCGCACACTTTCGTCGCTTGAGAAAAAGAAAAGACTTTTCGCAGTCGAGGCGACCCGATGAGATTTCACCCAACGTAATTTGAAGATGAGGAAAGAGCAGAGAGCGTGCCTTCCCTGCCGAAAATTGGGTACTTGCAAGGCGGGTGTTACTTAGGTGCGAAAGAAACTGTTCTGGGGATGATGAGGTAGGACGTGGACCACCTGCAGTGCCGGCGCCCCACGCGCCAGGAAAGACTTGCTTATCGAGCAGTCCCTCAAAAGTCCTCTGCAAACTCGTCTCCGAGGTGATGTGTGTTTTGTAGCCTCCGCCCTTATTACACATGACCCTATGCCCAACAGCATCCCACGTCGCCATGCCCAAGAACAAGAAGTCCCAACAGGCTAGACGCCATGCGAAGCGTCTTGAGCGGCTCGAAATGAAAGCTCTTTCCGAACGCGATCTGCACTTGAGCAAGAGCGTGGAACCCAACGAGATTCACGAAAATGGCCTGCATTCTCAAGACGCGTCGTCCTTTCCAGTCAAAATGAACCGTCTGGCCCGTCTCAAGGTACATCCATCCCAAGACGCAGTGCGATGGCACGATGCTGACGAAAATCAGGTCGCGAACAGAGCGAGGAAGAACATCAATCTCAACATGTCCTTCCTGCGTCGAGACGTCAGGCAGTTCAAGGACACCACGTCATCCGAGATCAAAGAAAAGTTCGCCGACTTTGAGGAGAAGATGAGGGTGCAACTCTACTCATTCTTCGATGCCAAGATGCGACAGGAGTGGAGCATCGACGACATGAAAAGGTTCATGGCCTCGCAAGAGGCACACATGTGCCGGCAGGCGAGGGAAATGGACAAACTACGCTCAGACAACTATGAGCTGCGACCGGAGCTGGAGAAGGAGCGGGAGAACAGGGAAGCTATGAGAAACGAGCTGAGACATGACGTGGACAAGTCGTTGAAGGATAGCGAGGCTGCAATGAAGATGATGACGGAGAATCCGAAGGATCGTACGCGAGGGTCGATAAAGAAGGCTCAGGGCGATGAGGGAGGCTGGAATGGACGTCTTCGGCGAGGGGTCAGAGGTTGATGCCAGATTTGACCTACTGTTGGACACATGAAAACCATGAAGCTCGTGGCTCTTCGCTTGCGAGTGACGGAGATATATCTGCCCGGCATGCACTTGAAATTACACATTTGCATTCATTCGCCTGGGAACATTTCGATTCAATGTGAACGGAAACAGATCGTTTCGGACTACCAGGCCACGGACACAAACACAAAATGAGCAAAATGGGTACTGATTGATCTGTATCATGGTATTTATGGTGTGTGGCAGTCGCAGCCAATTGCAACTGAGTAACCTCAATGCCGGCATTTGGAGACATCTAGAGAAGACTCTTCTTGGCAACGTCCTGCATCTCCTTGGCAATTCGCTTGCGTTTGTCTACCTGGCGCTCCAAATCCCTCATATCCTGGATGTAGTCGTAAAGCCGGTTCTTGAGATCCTCCAGCTTCGCCTTGGTGCATTGGTTGATGTCTGAAAATCCCTCAGGAGTGGCTGCCTTGATTCTGGCAAGGCTGTTCTCAGCAAGAACACGATCGATCTCAATTTCCTTCGCAATGCCGTCGCATGTAGTGATTGAATCGTCCATTTGACCAACCAGGGAGCGCAGGGAGCGAAGCTGATCTTGCTGAAGTTCCGTGAGCTCGATCTTGTACAAGGCTATTGAAGCATTGCGGATGGCTTGAGTGAGCTCTTCGCCTATGATATAGACCGCCGCGACAGAGAACCCGCCGGGATGCTGTGAATCTGCCTTCATTCAAGTCAGCTAAGAGATCCTCAACTGAGTAAGTCCGCATTCGATGTGCTCGAGAAGATTTGCTCCTTGTCCGCCTTCTCCCCAGAGCGGCAGGGTGTCTTAGCCGTAGCTCGGCCCTCTACCACGTGTACCCCTCCAGACAAAATCCTTCTGCAGGGAGGGGAAATGTACCCAAACATCCTGCTTTCTGAGGCCAGCTGCCAGCCGTGCCTTAGACCCTGGGCGCGCCCCCCAGCTGCATGTTCAACCCCCGCGTGAGGGGGAGGCCCACCAGCCGGGACACGCTCCGGGTGATTGATCGTCTCAAAGAGAACACCCTGCGTCAAACGGAAACCCTGTTGGAAGACGGAACAGCGCTTGCCTGCAGGCGGCGAGAAGATCCGCTAGCAGACAGCCATTCCATCCTCCATCATGGCGTGGGCCCGTAAGAGGTGATCTCCTTGCAACAATGCGTGCAGACTCGGAGCAAAAGAAAGCAGTCGAATGTGAATGAAATGGACTTACGGTGTTTGTGGTCGAAGAGGGGTTGGCAGCGGTGCTGATGTCGGCCGAAGCGTCCTTCTATTGCGAACGAGAGATGAGTTTCCATTGTGGATGAAAAAGGAATTTGGGCAGTGGCGGGAGAAGACATGAAATGACGATCATTTGTTCTGGGGTGGGAGCGGATACGGATGAGAGGAAGGAGAAGGGTGAACAGTACCATGTTGGTGTCTGAGGACGGAGCCAAGCTCTCGGAGGCAACGTTGGGAGCGTCCGTCTGCAAAGTCGTGAGTGAAGGTCTCTCTCTGAAGGAAATTGGCGCATACCATGTTGAGTGTAAGGATGAGATGAACTCGGAATGATGTGAGAGAAGAAGGGAGAGGAAAAGCAAAAGTCAGTGGAACTGAATTCTCTGAGGGAGAGAAAAGCTAGCGGCCCGACAACCTACGAACTTCAGCCCTGAGTCAATCGGGATAACCGAGCCGACCGCCCGCACGCACAGCAAGATCCCATAAAACTGGCGACGGAAAAAAAGGTGAGATTGGATGGCCCGTTGCGGCGCTCGACATTTACCATCGATAAAAAAGCTGAGGTCGTCGGGAAGAGTGTGTGGTTAAATCAAAGTGTGGCAGGTGGGGCACTTTCCTTGGTCCTGCAGTTCAGTGGCCATTAGTTGCTTGGTCTCTCGTACCTCGCTGTACCCCAGTGTACATCGGCTTTTTTGGAGCTGAAAGTTCAGCGGGACGGCCCGCTGCAGGCCTTCGACAGGGGAGGCTCCCCTGTAGACGCAAGATCAGATCGATCGACCAGGTGAGGGGCGTGGTACCCGCGCTTACACTTAATTGAATCAACTCCACCTTTTGCAGGTACGTACCGGAGCACGGCTCGATGTACCTCACGGTGCAGAGGTCACTGTGCTATAGCCCCACATAAAATCCCAATTCGGTCACTGTGCTTGCGTTTACTGTGTACAGATTCCAATCGTGCCTACTGGTACCAGCGACAGGACAGGGGAGCCACCCGATGGCCGACTTTTTCATCGCAGATAATGAGGTGGGAAAAGGTCGATGATCCCCTTTAAGTATTTGCATGAACAGACTTCCACTTGGAAAACCTTTTTCTGATCTTCAATCTTTCCTTTTGTGCTGCCGGACTTTGGTCGACCAAGCTCGGACCAACGCCTTGGGGTGGAGAACAACGACATCAGTCGCAAGAACAAACGAGGTCCTGGTCAATTGTCCCTCAAATTCATAGAACAAGACTAAAGGGAAGAAACTGTGCTCAAACAATCACAAAGACTCCTCTGCATGATGCTGCAGCCCGGGACAGCCCCGCCCTCATTCCTTCTCCCTCTTCTTCAACTCCTCCTCCATGCGTGCGATTGTGGCCGCCATGTCCCCCAACTGCTTCTTCGTGTCCTCCTTCTCAGCCTCCAACTTGGCCAGCTTGGCCACCACGTTGCTTGCACTGAGTTTGAAGTCGACGGCGTCTAGATCGGTGCGGAAACGCCACGAGTCCGCCTCCTTCTTCGACTCGGCCGCCTCGCGGTGTGTCTGCTGGACCGTCTGCTCGATTTGGTCCAGGCGCGCATTGGTCATCCTGCGTCTTTCGTTCGCATTCTGTAGGATTCAACTGTTAGCTTTGGCATCGTGACTTATTGGGGTCAATATGGCTGTTTGAGGATGACTCACGGTGATGCGCTGGCGGCGCGTGAGTGCTGGTCTTGGCGGAGTCGATGGCGTCGGGGTTGGCTTTCGCAGCTTCGGCGCGTTTCTTTGCGCGGCGACGGGCGCCTTGGCCGGGACGGGCTTTCTTTGACATGGTGGGCGATGATGTTTGTGATGGCGCTGCAACGCGAAGGGTTGGTGGGAGGGATGCGGGCTGAAAAATTGCAAGATTGGACCAGACGAACTTCCAGGTTGGCTCTCATGGCATCTGCGCATCCCAAGTCCGTCTTGCAACCTCGCAATCAACACCACGCCGCACCAGACCAACGTCTAACAGTTCAAGATGAACCATTCTCAAGACTCTGTAAGCTGCTGACTCCGTTCCGACGTGTCCATGGAAATCGCTAACTTGCGCGCAGCAGATGGCCGGCACTGGTCCCAGCCAGACCGTACGTGACGCCAAATTCTGCTAGGTCCTCCTCGCTCGTGTCATCAGGTCGCTAACCTCATGCTCTCAGACCGTCTCCATGTCCGCGACCCTGCGGGATCACCTTGAGACCTTGATCTCTGGCCGCACCCACGCTGAGATTCTCTCGGAGGCCAACATGATCTTGCGCAACGCCAGCCCTGAGGCGTGCCAGCAGCTCATCATCGCGCTCGCCTTCTCTCTGCTTGGCCGCAACGAGAGCAAGCAGGACATCCGCGATGTCCACGAGCACATGGACGAGCTCAACGCCCAGGTCCTCAACACTCATGAGTTCGCCACCAAGCAAGCCATTGACAACACCGAGTCCCACGAGAACTACGTCAAGGCGACGGATCGTCTCAACGAGGCCAACAACGGCGTTGACAACCGCTGCCGCAGGGCCGAAGAGCAGGGCAGCATGGCTCTCAAGGTCGCCAACATGGCCCGGGACTCCTTCAAGTATTGGGACAAGAGCGTCCAGGAAGAACTCGAAGAGATGTTCAACCGACGCATGCCGATCTTCGAGGCCCATCTCCGTGAGCAGTTCGCCAACCAGGCCGCCGGCACTACCACTGTCGATGCCAACATGAGAGAGCTCGCCGAGCGGGTCCAGGCTCTCGAGAACAGCCTTCGCCAGGACCTTGCCAACCAGGCTCAGAATGTCGAGACCTATGTCCAGCGCGAGATTGCTCACGTCGAGCAGCGTGTCGAGGAGAAGTTCGCCAAGAAGAAGAAGGAGGAGAAGGAGGAGAAGGAGGCACAGGACAAGAAGATGAAGGCTCTCGAGGCCAAGATCGAGGCGTTGATGAACATGCGTGGTTAGATGTTCTTGGGGGTCACAGATGTTCAGGTCTTTGAGTTCGCTGCAGCTTGTGTTCGAGGGATAGAATGATTGTTTGAGAGGGACTGCAGTAGATTGATTGAGAATTCCAGATGTTCGCTCCGCAGCTGGCCTTCAATTTCTCGTATCGTGACCGCCTGACTACTAGTGACATGTGAAATCTGCAAGCAGATCTCTGCCAGCCACTCGAAGCTTCTTGGCGACGAATGCAGGGTTGAACCACAGACACCCGCAATTCATAAAGAGACCATGATAGACGGCAAGGTACGACAAGAAGGTGGCAGTAGGTGTGGTCAAAAGTATCAATCAAGGCACACTGCAGAGCAACACATTGCAAGAAAGTACAAATTACAAGTGACAATTACAGCAGCTGAAATTGAAACTAATCGAAGAAATACATAGAACGCAAAAAGAAAAGCCCAGCCTCCGCGCGCCTGCCAAGACAAACTCCCAAAACACTCCCACGCATCCAAAGAGCGCAAGCGAAGAAAAAAGAGAAAGTACCTGTCTTCATCCAGTTAGTCGAGCGAACAACTAAGTAAGTCACCACTTGACATTGCGTGAGAATGGCCACGAGCTCGCCCTCAAGGAGCGGCCGGTTCTACCGCATGAACCGCACCGCGTACCCCCGTTGCAATGGCATATCTCCCCATGGGTTGCCAACCCACCCAGAAGCGGGGCGCACCTTTCCCCCTTGTATCCAAGCTCGATCCCGTGGGAAGGCAAGGAAGGAAAGAGAGGCGGCTCGCGTGAGAGAACTGCGCAAAGTGAAGACGGCAGCCGCTTTCCATGTCCAAGCCAAACACCCAAGGGCGAAAGACAAGAACGCGGAAAGCGGGTTCCCTTACTGGAGTTCCTGGAAGTGAGGCGGACAAGCAAGAAGCAGGCGAAAGATCCTGCTTCCTGATGCTGCCAGGCCTTCCTGGTCCTTGGCGAAGGTTCCTTGAGCCAACCAGATTGCGCATCGAGCGTTGGGCCAAAAGAAAGCAGACAAGAGTGGATGGGATGAACATACCAAATGAGAAGGGGAGCGATGATCGCGGCTGGGATGGGAAAATGTGAAAGTGAAGGAAGAAGAAGAAAGGTTGCGATGGAGGAAGGTTGTGATGGAGGAAAGAAGAAGAAAAAGTTGAGAGAGCCGGAGAAGAGGGTGGATTAAATAGAAGTCGAGGTTGGCCCGGGCGTTCCTGCTCGCGGCAAGGTGGGTGCGGGATGGGATTGATTGTGCGATCACTGCAGTACGTACCGAGACTGATTTTTTTTTATTGGCGGAATTTGAGGTGAGAGATTGAAATTTTCAGAAGTGCTGTTTCGCAGAAGGCGAGGTGTCGTGGCAGTGAGGGTGGATAGAAAATGAAGGTGCACCAAGTGAAACCGGGAAGGAGTGGATCTCTGGAAATGGAAAGATGAGGTCGGTATAAAGTTGCGGCTGGCTCAAAAACGGAAGGGGCTGCAGGGCCCATTCTAGCCTAGCTCGCCCCGGACTTGGGGGCTGGAGTAGGTGGTTCACGACGGTTGACAGGGGATGGGCGTGAAGAGTCTTAGAGTGTGTCCGCTGGCGATGGGACGAAGCGAGCCTTAACGCCGACGGATGATAACTCCGAAAGCCCCAAAATTCCCATCCAGCCAGCCCCACATAACGGTTGACCATCCACGACGACATGTCTCGCAGGTGAAAAGCCCGATCGAAGCCTCAAATCAGTTGAAAATGAGGGTAAAAATGACTGCATTCATTCTTGAAGCCTTCCTCTACCTCAAGCCGAGTTTACCTTCTCATCATCACCTACTTTTAAAATGATCGACCGCCTTGCTGCCATCCGAGCCGATGTTTACCCGGACCTCTCCCGAAGCTGCTGAAGCTGCCTTCGAATTTTCTGCATGTTCTCCAGCGACTTATCGACGCGCAGGTACATTTGCGCCAATTCCTGAAACTGATCCCAGATCTTCCTGAATGCATCAGACTCCTCACCCATCACTCGTCCAGTGTCCTCCAGCATTCTTGCGACGTCTTCGGCCTTGCGGATGATGTCGCGTTTCGTTCGTAGGATGTATTGCTCGTCGCGGGCGAACTCGGCCTCTTCTTCTTCGTAGCTCTGTTTATTGTCAGCGCAAATCTTGTGGGAAAGTCCAGATGAAGTGACGCACCTGAAAGCCGCTTTTGGGGGCCTGCGAAATTGGCGGCATTGTGTCGATAATGGGGGTGAGGTTTGGCGTTGCGGCAGGGCGAGGTGGGTTTGCGCAAGGTTTTGTATGATTAACCTGGAGGGTTTTGGTATGGGACAGGGGCATTTCGAGGCAAACTTTATTATTTGTAGACGGAAGACTCGAAGTATAAAGGGCTCAATTGTTCGAAGCGGATCATTGCACAAAGAGTAGCTTGTCATTGTTCTGACAAAAGGGCCAATGTCCCAACTCAAGATGTGCAGCACGAACTTCAATCACAAGAATGTGCCTTGTTCAAAAGGTAGTCTTAACTCGAAAAGCGCCTCACTCGAAACATGAGATGAAGCTTCGCGTGAGTATCTTGCGGGCACTGCGTTTATCAGGTACGTGGGGCAGCAAATAAGCAAGCGAGGCCAGACATGACGAAGGACAGAGCTCTCTAACGAAACAAACTTGGCAGTGTGTATGGGATCTTTATTGATATGGGAGACGCCCGCTCAAGCCTTCTTGCGAGACCGCAGGCGCCCCTTCCATCCCTCCTCGTTGGCGCCTCCCTGCCGACTGCCGCCCTTGCATCCAACGGAATCGCGGAGCTGCTGGAACTCCGCTCGAAGGACGGAGCCAGCATCGCGCACCTCCTGCAGCTGCGCCTCTAACTCGACGATCTTCTCGCGCAGAGCCTTGCCCTCCTGGCGCAGATCTCCCACATCCTCGTTGACCATCTCCATCTTGGCGCCAACGATCTCCACCTTCGTCCCCTCCCGTCTGACATGGTCTTGGAGGGCATTGTGGCGCGCCGCAACTCTCTGCATGTTCTCGAGGCCCAGCCTCAGACCGACCCTCTGGTTCTCTTGAAAACCGGCGTTGACGGTCTCGACGCGCAGACGCCAGTCCTTATTCTCCTCGATGGCCTGGTCCATCGTGTGCTTCATGACGGCGGCGTCGGCTTGGGTGCGGATCTCGATGCCGTTGAGGCGCTGCTGGGTGGCCTGTCTCACGCGCTTTTTGGTCTGTTGGGGCAGGTGTTAGCTGGGCTTGAGGGGTAGGAGCGAGTGTGATGGTACTTGCCTTGACGCGCTGGGTGTTGGTGAGGCCGGCGAGGGGATCGTCGTCGGTGGTGGCGGCGGTGCCATTCAGGAGGGCTTGAGTTGCCCGAAGCATGCGCTTCTTGGCGCGGAGGCGGGCGTTCTTGCCGGGGTGGTTCTTGCTCATCTTGAGGTGTTGGTGATGGTGTTGTGGTGGTGGAAAAAGTCAACAAACGAACGGGGAACGAAAACGGGCAGGTACGTAGGTTGAAATTCTACGCAGCTAGATACATGAGAAACACGACCAAAATACAGCCTGTTCGCCCGGATGCCTAAAACGTTCATGCTGTCTCAATTCTGGCCTGGCCTTGCAAAGCTTCATTCACTACATCATGTACTCACAAACAGAGGTACTGAGACCACCAATTTTCCAATGCCAGAATGATTGTCCTTTTCGTAGGCTCTTTTGAGATAGACTGTCGTCTATGCTGTCGCTGCCTTGATTGTCGTCGTTGAGTTTCGTCACTGTCCTCTTCCATCGTCCCGTATCTGATCACTCTCTCGAGCCCATTGAGTACGCCGAAACAAGAGAAATCTGGAATGGACGATGTATCACATGTGCAGAGACGACGCATTAGACCGAAGAAAGTATCAATTGGCTACAACCGCACGAATCTATCTAGTCCAGCCCATCTCACTACATTCGAGCACCCGTAGCCCAACCCGAAAACGCCCATGTCGTGAAGTCTCTGCTGAAAGTCTGATGCGAGAATGAAACCTGTCTTCATCCAGTCAGTTGAGCGAACACAACTGAGTAAGTCTGCAAATGCTATGCTTGAGGCGGCTGCTTGCTCGCGTCCCCCAGAACGGCCAGGGAATTTAACCCGGCCAAGTACCCTCCCCGGTAAAACCATCGGCGTGTTCTCTGAAATTCGCTTCCGTCACAGGTGCCAACCCGATATGGACGAGGCGCGACTTCCCCTTCCTGGCATCGTGGAGGCGCCAAGATGGAGTCGTCAATTCTGGGGGAAAACGCCCACCGCGAAAGGCAGCCTCTCGTTCCCGCTGGGCTCGAAGAACCAAGGTCACGAGAGGTGTCGTGTTGATACCAGAGAAAGAGAACTGGTCTGGGACAAGCGAGAAGATCTCATCCCAGACGCTGTCTCAAAACTCCGACTTTGGCACGCGACGTTTTTGCCGGATCGCGGTCGCACAGGCGAGCTCGAAGCCAAGAAAGCAAAAAAATGTGGATGAAATAGACTTACCTTGTAAAAAAGCCATCCTAGCTGGGTGGGGGATGCGGATGAGAGAAATTCGTAAGGAGTCGAGACGGAGTAGCTGTGAAAGAGCGGCAGACGCGGAGGGGTTCTGGGGTGCAAGATGGAAAAAGGTGAAAGTGGGAAGAGGACGAAAAAAAGAAAAGAAATGTGAAAGTCAACGAAGACAGGAGGGTGGGTTGTGGAGGAAGAAGGATCGCGAACGGGGTGGGCGAAGGGATGTGATTAAATAGAAAATAAAAAATGGGGCTTGGGGTGAAGCTGGCACTGCGCTTAGGTTGGCGAGGCGGTCGCCACACCTTCCTTGGGTGGAAGGAGAGACGGGAAGAAGATCGGCGAAAATCTTTGCGTGGTGCAGATTATTTGAGACGGGAGTGAAAGGAATGGAGAAGTTTCGATGGACAGGCATAAGGGCTTTGTCAACAAACAAGGATGAGATGGAAAAAATCAAAACAAAGGATTAGCCTGCTAATGGGCAGAAACATGGCACCAGACGAAATAAAATCAACGTCAACGGTTCAAGTAGGTAGGAAGGACGAGAGTGGCCAGGTTAGGTCTGAGGCGGGAGGATGATGGCATCGTAGTTCCAGCAGAGTGCTTCCCTACCAAAGGTTGAATCGACAACTGCACTCAAAGCCCTCCGAGTCTAGTAAACACACCTGTCGATGAGAGGTGTTGTTGTTTTGACGTCACGGGGTGGAAGTTGAGAAGGACCCACTTGCGAGAGACGCCCCAACGGGACACCGCCCGCTGCAGGAGCAACGGCCCAGACCACGCCACGAGAGTTGTAATCTCCATCGGCTGAACTCTGCCACAGCAACTGAGCGACCCTTTTGGGCTTTTGCCGTCATTAAATTCGCAGCCCTACCTTTTCTTCAAACGTGGCTCTCCCTCAAAATGAACCAAGTCTGCTTCTTTCGACCGCGACAGCGACTTTCCACCTAAAGGTATCTAGAGTCTTCTCATATCTCCAAAGCCTCCGCAGCTTGTTTACAGTGGGAAAGATGAATACTAGCTCTGATCGCATCACGATATTTGCAACAGTAAGCGATTTACCTTGCTCGCTCGACTTTTCCGTCTTTCTCCCATCCCTTCCCTCTGATCCAGCATCCTCCTTTTGATCTTTCCTCTTGCCGTCCTCCTTCAAAAGCTACCATTTCTGCAAGATCACTCTCTCTTCCCGTCGACCGGCTCTCCAAGGCCACCCTCTTCTGCTTACACACAAACTTCCCTTCCTCAAACCCCGCCTGACCTGGGCTGTTTCTGAAGTCCATTGCAATCATCCTCAATCATACTGACGCACCTTCATTGAAGATGGACACTCCGTGCCAACCCGCCAGCGTCAGCGTCAAGACTAAGGTCTCCTCAGTTACCGACATATTATCGAAGACGGACACTCCGGAGAAACCCGTAAGCGACAGCGACAAGACCAAAGTCTCCTCAGTCACCGAGACGGTAAGCACATTTTTCATCCAACTCCGACTGACTTTCTCTGCTTCAAGTCCGTACCAACTCGTCGCAATGTGGGGGGGCTATAGGTCTCTGCTGCACTGGGACGCGTTGAGGCCTTCTGCGACACATCTCTCGCTACCACAGGAAAGCTCAGCTATCTTACGTTCCGGTGAAATCACTGTAGCCCCAATCGTCGTAGTCGCAAGCTGGCGATGCTCGGGTATCACAACGCGGCGGTGCTATCCCGGAGCTGTCTCGCGGCGCTGGACCACGTTCATCGTGGTCCAAGGACGACCGCAGCACGGACGAGAGGCGTCTTGATCAGGGCACATCAGATGCGGACTTGCTCAGCCTGTATTTCTTTGCTGACTTGAGTGGCAGGCCCCCGACACGCGCACTGTAAAGGAACTCAACCAGAGCAAGATCAAATCCCTGACGGAGGAGCTTGAACGCTTGCAGAAGGAACGCGACGATCTCAAGGCCATATGCGACGTGCTGAGGGCTCGGATTGATTTCAAGAAGAAGGGAACCGCTCCGACCTCGGAAATGGATGACAGAATGAGTGAGGCATTGCAACGGTGGATTCTTCTGAGTGAACAACAATGATTATCACGCAAATATTTTTATCAGGAATTACTACGTGATGTGCCTACGTCGATTTCCAGACATGCTAGAAGTTGTACGATAGACTAGCTCTCTATCCCTGAAATAAGACAAATTCACATCTTTTCGATCAAGATCGCGCCGAGAGGTGCTTACCCAGGCAGCCATGCAGCTACCCGCGTCGACAAACGGAGTCAGTTCCGACCCGACGTCGCCACAGCAGCAAACGCCGCTCCTTGAAGATTAGCAATAATGAGAACTAAAAGGGGCCAGCCGTCTTTCAAAACGACAAGAACATTTTCACTCCGTTGATTTCAGCGATACCGTCGCGTGTATTCTGGTAGCAGCAAGACCTGAGATGAACACTGCGGCTGCCTAACCAGCCCCAAGCCCTCATAAAGCGGTCGTTGTCACCAACCACCGCTCCATCCACAACATCCTTACCTCCTTCCAACGCGTCACCTCATCGCCTCTCATCCCACCCACCGTTGCATCTTATCCGAGCCTCGTCTCATTCTTCAACCACAATGGCCTCCAAGAAGAAGAACATGGGCAAAAACCAGCGCGACCGCCTCAAGAAGCAAAAGAACCACAGCCTCGTCCCCACCAACGCCTCGTCGTCCTCCCCAGACGGCACCGACACCGACCCCGAGTCCACCCCCGAGAAGAGCACCCTCGACGTCGCCAACTACAGCGCCGTCAGCAAGCTCTCCACCAACCTCCGCATGTCCGATCTCGTGAAGGAAAGGGTCTCCGTCGACGACAAGGGCCGGAAGCTGCGCGTCATCATGGGCGGCGAGAAGGTAAGGTCACTCATTCAACCCCACCTCAGCTGATATCGTCAGATTACTAACCAATTGTCAGGATATGAACGAGTTCATCAAACGCCTCGAGGACGAAGCCAAGCTCCAGGCCCAACTCACCCGCATCTCGACTCGCTTCAACGCCCTGCGCTCTTCCCAGTCGAACTGGCCCGAGGCCCGCCAGATTGGCGACAGTATCAACGAGCTCATGGCGTCCAGCAAGGGTATGATCTTCGACGCCGGTGGCATGCGTAAGAGAAGCAAAGTACCGGCCTACCCCGGCACACTGAAGCTGGTGAGATCGACAGTACCCCATGATCCTAACGGGAGATGCTGACTTTGCCCACCCAGGCCTTGGACCGCGAGAACCCCATGTATGATGCTCTTTCTCTGCAAATGGACGCGTTTTTGGCTCTTGAGGAGATTGCTGCAAAGATTGAGCATGTCCATTCTAGAATGCCGGAGAAGAATGGCCAGTGAGCTTTGAAAGACAACCGTGAAAGGAGTGGCTTTGTGGGTTGATAACATGGTTTTTGAGGCGCACAAACATCCTAGCTTGGCATTAATAAAGAACAATCTTCCTGTGCCCCCTAACTTTGACCTTTGATTCATGCTTTCGAGCATGCTGCCGCCTGCGGCCACATTGGATGGCTTGATGACCCTGACCTGACAGAGCCAACAATGCCCACGATACTTCATAAACACCTCTACAGCTCAACTTCAGGATGTATGAAGAGAGCACAAGTTCCAAGGGCACCTCTTCCTCCACATCGCATCAAAACCAATACTTCGTTCCTCCAACAAGATATTCAAGTCACCTTCACCATACCAAATCAAAATCTCGACATCTGCTATCTTGAGAGTGGTTCCAGCTTCACGAAAATCTCGACGCAGCACAAAAGCAAAGTCTGTACGTCTCTCAAATCTCACTGAACCTCAAAGTCGCTATTAGTAACAGTGAACGTATCCATTTCTCGCTTCCAGCCAAGTCCACCTCTTGGTCCATTACAAAGCAGGGCGGAAGTCGCCGCTCCAGGCTCTTGAATATCAATCTCGTTCCAAAGGGGTCCTCCAATAAATGATGGTTTCCTCAAACACGATTCGATCCTACTCTTTTCGAGCGACTGCTCGCGCCGGATGGCCTTGCAGTTGACTTAGAACCGCCCCCTACCAGATTCAACCTCTCCATTCTTTCGCTGAGCTGGGTTTCAGTCACAAGATCGTACCAAGGTTTGAGACCATAATTATACATTGAGCCGCATACACCTCGTCCGCTACGATAGCGTAACGGTATCAAATCGTCGTCATGCGTGTCCCGGTCATCATCGGTCGAAGTTCCGTCGGAGTCGGAGATGTTCATTGGTGAAGCAGCAGATCGTGCAGCATCGGCAGCAGCAGAGATAGAAGCTTTGTGCTTCGTTTCAAATATTTCGTGCCACTTTTGAAGCAAAGTCAAACTCTCCTCATCAGAGTCTTCGTTGAGAGGCGTTGTATGCTGCGCTGGCACGCTGTTGGCCTCAGAGGCGAGAGGGGTTTGTCTCTTCATGACTGGGTGGATTCGCCTCCAGCGCCTCTGGGGCGTCTCGCTGTCGGAAAGAGACTTCTTGCAGCACCCGACTCTGATGAGATGATCTTCCTTCTCGCCGGTACCACTTTGCTAAAGCTTCTGGCGCTTGTGGGGTATCTCGAAGTAGGAAAGAGATCCCGCTCTCTTCCGGGAGCTGTTGGGTGCGGAAGTCATCGGAGCTTGCTTCATTTTGACTGGGGTCCTGTTAGCAACGTGCGTGGAGATGAACAAGGCGAAACTTGCTTGATTACTTGAAGTGCGTATTGATGCAACGTGCAGATCCTTCGTGCGTGCTGGCGATGCTTCTGATGATGTTGATGAATAGAGAGATGTGGTATAAACGACGGCGGTTCCAGTCGAGAGGTTGAAAGACAGGTGGGGGCATTTATGGCTGGCTGGAGAACATTGGTAGAGGAAGGACGGACGCCAACGATACCCAGGACTGCAGGGACGACAGGGTCACCAGGAAGAGAAGGGATGAACGCCAGGAGATGAATGTTGGCAATCGCGGGTTGACTCGGAACCGGAAGGCACAGGTATCAATCGGCCGCCTGACCCAATTTGCCGCTTGTGGCCCGCTCAGGGAAGGACTCTTCTTCAATTCTTTCCCGAGAAGAGGCGCTCAGAGGTCAACAACGGAAGGAAGACTGCGGGCAGAACTAGCAATGAATTGATGCTGTATGATGGGATGCTACTCTATTTCGATTGTGCCAGACTCATCATCTACCACTGCCTTGTAGTATCTCAAGCTTTCGCGGGAATTCCCTTGCAAAGATGCCACTCCTGAACGTACTGCCATGTTCCTAGAGGACGATGGTCTTCATGAGAAGATACTCCTTCAAGAGGCCAACAGCCCTATTCTCGTTGGTGCTGTTCTTCTGGGCGGTATTCTTCTTGCTCCTGATGAATGCCTCACCGCGAGCGAAGAAGGAGTCGCGTCTGATAGTCCAGTCCTTGTGGTCCTCCTCTCTTCTTGCTGCTCTTTCCTCCATGAGGGCAGCCCGTATGACAGGGTGGACTGACGGCGTCATCCGATCCTCTGCTTCAAAGTAAAAAAAAAAAAAGAAAATCGTCCAGAAGCCCTTCATCTTCATCCAACAGCTCTTCCAGGGTGAATTTGCCGTCAGCGTTGTCGACAGAGGCGCCGTCATGGGTAGCGGTTTTGAGGTCGTGCTCAAGAGTCGTGGCATCAGAAGCAGGCAATGACTTGAATGCCTGATTGGCTGTGCCATCGCCAGCAATGTTGAGCGACTATGAGATAGACAAGTTAGTATCAATAATACTCGGTTCCATAGAGCTGTCTTCCAGCTGACTGGAGTGAATGCACTCACCATGAAAGCCCCGGAGACCTTCTCTGCTGCATTCTTCTGGGCCATGGGCGACGAGGCGGCCTCTTGCTGCGTAAAGTGCTCCTGCATCTTGAGTAGTGCTGCGGTAAAAGCAAATCCAGCAGTAGAAGAGGGAAGTGACAAGATGATGGTCATTACCTTGAGTCAAGTACCTATGGAAGAAGCAAGCTCAGTGGTGATGCGCTTTGTGAAGGAAGGAAGATTTGCCTTCTGTTGCTGTGGTGTATTGACAAAAGGCTGTGTGGGCTGTTGCAGTCGAGTTGAGAGATTCGAAATGGCAGCAACCCAAGTGGAGCCTGGAATTCTGCAGACAACCTACAAGCAGGTGTAGTGGGAGTATTGCCAAAGATAGAAAGTCTCATGCGCCCGGACTTGGCCTCTCCTTCCTTTCCCTCAGAGATAAAGGTGAATGTGACCAGTGAGCTTTAAGTGGATAACCACAAAAGTGCACCAGTATTTCCAAAGAATTCCATCCATATAATAAACAGCTACTTCAACACGCTTTCATTACTTTCAGCCATCGCATCAAGTTAGTTTCATGAGAAAACAACTCCACGTAAGGGCAAGTATTTCACAAGGGCAAAAAGTAAAATAAAACTTCAAACTTCAGATAGCAGCAAAAGCAAAAGATGGGACACTCGTCCCCACCTCTAGGCCCTTTTCTTGTAAGAAAATCGCGTGACGAGATTCGAACTTAGCGCCCCTCCAGGATAACCAGAAATCCACCCGAGGAATTTGTTTGAAGCTAGATGATTAGTTACCAACTGGGTCACGCCGTCGCTGTTGAACTGGTTGAAAGGGATGCGACGAAAGTTTCTTTAGTAGGGAGAAAGCTGGATCGGGAAGGCAGGTAGGTAGTATGGCTGCCGAGTGGAGCTGTGATATTGCCTGGCTAACTGTCAAAGAGCTCTGATGCTGCCGCTGCGCTTCTATGGCGTTCCCATCTGCGATAAAGATCTGGTTATCATCTAACCTGTTTGAGGTGCTTTTACGGAAGCCCCCCTTTACTCCTTGCTCGCACCATATCGCATGGTCTCCAAGTAGCGCATGATCGCCTCAACTTCCTCGATCAGATTCTCTTCTCCAAAAGGCTTGTCATCCAAGAGAGCTCCCGCACGCTCGACGGCGGCTTCCCAGCCATTGGCAGTCGCACTCTGCTGGAGCAACTCCAAATCATCGAAGATTTCCTTCGCGACTCGTGCGATGAGCTCTTGCCACATCTGAGCTCTGTCTTTGGAAAACTGGTGCTTGGCACGTGCCGTGCGCAAAGCGAACTCCGTCACAACCTCGGCCTTCTTGCTCTCCACGGCCTTCGGGTGCGTTAGCAAGGGAATGAGGCGGCAAAACTGTATCATTACTTACGGTGTAGGGGGGAAGGTCCGCGTAGACCGGGGAAACCGCGTCGTCGGTAGGCTGCTCACGTGGCCGTAGGGCGCTGAGGTTTTGAAAAGTCAGCAAAGCAGAAAGCATGGAAGTCAGTGCCGTTTGTACGTTCACTGTCCCCCCTAGAGCCATATCGGACAAGACAGAAGCTCTGTTGTTTGTGTAAGATGCAGACAGATGCCCTTGCGGCTCACGCGGATAGGAAGCCCAGTGGGAAGAAAATGGCAGGGATTGGGAGCTAGAGGTTGAGGCGAATGGATTCGCCCAAGGCAACGTACCAGTTTGCATGCTCACGAACAAACATGTGGATAAGAGCCTCCTTCGACCGGGCGAATGTGCTGAGTCTCGGAATGCTCTTGACACTGCCCTTGACGCCGCCCTTTAAACCGCTCTTGGAACGGTTAAATAGGTTGAGTCTCGCCATCGTTACGTTAGAGAGAGGGAAAATTGGTTGTGGTGTTACGGGGGGGAGAACGCCGCCCCTGGCGACTCGCACCCCCTTCATATACTTATGCTTTAGCCATAAAGGTTTCACTAGAGTTTTCTAGGTCCACCATGGCCTTCATATATCGCAGATAGAATTCAATAAGGTGTGGCCGCAACGGTGACCAGCTGTGTGATGCATGGCAGCCCAGACCGGTTTCTTCAGCCGCCAGCTTGCCCGGTGTGGCCCCACATACTATGACCACAATGTTGACACTGCAGTCACATGGCTGCCCGGTACACTGATCGAAGCTGTGAGCTCATGGTGCGAAGGCTTCTGCATTCCATTGGAGGGAACCAGTGGGGCAAAATGACTTCCTTCCCAAATGCAACCACCGGCCAGGAGCGCCTTCTTCAGCCACAATAACGGTCGACGGCCAGCGAGGGACGCAAGCAACCAACACCATTTCTCTCCAAACCTTGCTGTCTCTGCTCGAGGTCAAGATGGGGGATGCCAACCTCCTCAAACCCGTTGAGGCTCTTGTTCTCCCATCTCCTTCGTCGAATCAGCGCCTTTTGGGCCCTGCCAACAAAGCCGCGGTCGATGCCGAGCCTTTCACATACGACGACGCCGTCGCCCTTCATTGTCAAATCGAAGTTTTCCAGCGGTCGTACCAAAAGGAGGGATACAAAGTCCCAGACAATGCGGTACGTTGGATTTTCTCCCTTTGCCTCACCCCCGTCCCTTCCCGACATACAATTGACTGCTCATCACCGGCGTCGTCGATTCTGTTGCTGACAGTGCTCTTGTTCTCAGTCCTCCCGAGAGATCGAACTGGCCATGATCCGAGGAACCCTTAACCTGCGCATCCACGAAATCCGTCTCGCCCTCTTCCACAACTTCGTCGCCTTCCCTACCCCGACAGCTTCCTTTCCGGCTTCTCACCCCACAACGATCCTTTTCAGAGACTACCAGAACACTCTCACCTCCGCGACCGAGGCTTGGGCAAAGTTCGTCCAAGAGAAGCGTTACCTTTGCGATGAGCAATCCCAGCGCCGGCGCTAGGAGCGCGAGCGCCGCCGGGCCTCAACGTCGCAAGAGGAGTGGTGGGAGGCTGCGCGCCAAGAGCAGGAGGACGTGGACTACGATGCCGATGCAGACGATGGAGGCTCATCCGGAGTCATCCAGCCCCTTCGTCGGAAGAAAATCGAGATGAAGGAGCGAGCCACTCTGTATCGCGCCGTGAAGCAGGAGATGAGAAGACGCGGCGACCTACTCACCAAGAATGAGGAGTCCGACAGTGCGATTGCGCGCCGCCGAAGCAACTTCAGCCTCCCTGAGCATGTCAAGACAAAGGACGGCCTCCTCATCTACCTCAACCAGCTCGGTCTGCGCTACACGCCCCGCACGGCTACACAGAGACGCCGGTCGAGACTTCGAATGCTCATGGCGCCTTGATGGATCATAGCCTGCAGACGTTTAAAGTGCTGGAATGCGCAGCTTATGATTACGAAGAGTGTCTGGAAGCTTCTGGCGTGAGGAAACTATTCGACAGTCGAGGATGTTAGGTTGGGGGAGAATGCTGTTGTGTTACTCGAGATCTCGTCTACGCAAGAATGATACAAAGTAATTGTTGTGGTAGCAGGATAGTCGCACCATACGACTCTTTCAGGTCGTTGTTCTGCTTTCATGCGAACTTATTATGATGGAAAATATTTGCGAATCTGCGATTACCAAGTCCAAGTCATCGATGCTGTTCGCCTCAAATGCCCAGCAGCTTCGCAGCCGTCAACATCGTACCCTAACTCTCACCGAGTATTTTCGCTCGCGCGAAAGTTTCGAGAGCTACCAATTCTCGGTATACCCCTTTGTTAGGCGTTTGTGGTCCTGCTGATGTGGAAATCGATCACAACCCGAGGATCGTCTATTGTCGTCGTTGCCTGTCGGCTCTGCTATCGTCGCCGTGATGTATCGTCACTATCCGCCAGAGTAGCAACGCTCAATGAAACAGCAGAAAGCACAGTGCTAACAATGATATTGGCCTGCTCTATAACTAACGAATAAGACATTGCAGTGTGGGCTGTCACCGACCCTTCTCAAACCCCCAAGTTCACATCACGATTGCAGGATTCTTCGAATCCAACACAGCCTCTTTTGAAATATCCTTCCCGCCAACAGTCTCGGTTCCTTCTCCTCCAAGCTCCTCGTCGTCCAGCATCGTGTTGTCCAGCATCTCTGGATTAATCGCCCTGGAGCCCTTCGGAATGAACGTGGCGATCAGGACGATGCAGAAAGTTACAGTAAACTGCACGCCGGCAGTGTAAGTCAGGGCTGTGCTGACTTCCCCCAGGCTGTTGTACATCGCGTCGATATATCGTCCGAGGAAGGTGCTGGAAATGGCGTAAGACACGACGTAAAATGAGTACAGGAACGCCATGACAGCTGCCAAGGGCGACACGTTGTGCTCCTTGTTCTCAAGGCGAGCCAGTGACGCCTGGATGTACGCGGCAAGAGACACGTCGCCAGCCGCCCAACCGAAGCTAATGGGGAGGAACGTGGCGGCAACGATCCAAGCCTGGCCGACTTGTCTGGGTGGAGGATTCCAGTAGGGGATGTACCAGACAATAAGCAAGAGCAGAGCGTCCAACCGGAGCCACGGGATGGGAGTCTTGATCACGTTGGTGAATAAAAATACGAACAGCGCACCCAGTAGCTCTCCGAAGTTCGAACCGCCGACCATGATCTGCGACCAAGCCGATTCGTCGAGGTATCGTCGGGCAACCTGCGGCGCGATGCCGTTCTCGAGGTATCTGTGGGCGTACAGCGCGACGCCGTAAGCAGGCAGGAGCCACACAAAGCGGCGGGAGCTGAAAATAATCTTCGCGCCGACCCAGATGGACTCGAAGAAGGTGAAAAAGCCCTTGCCGACGGCCACAAAGTAGTTGGAGCTCTGGGCCTGCGTGCGTGCGAGTGCGTTACGCTCCGCGCTGGCGTCGACAACAAAGAACCAGAGGATGGCAGCGAGGGCGAAGCAGATCGGCGTGATGACGAAGGAGCGGTTGTTGCCCAGGTTCGGAATCAGAACCAGGGCAGTCACGAAGGCGCCGGTGGTGCCTGCAACTTCGTAGAATATGTGCACCATGGCGTCCATCTGGCGGAGCTTCTGGACGTTGCCGCCGACGATGTCTCGCGGGATGACGCGGCGGATGAGCTCGACCATGCCGTAGGTGATGCCTGCAATGGCGTAGATAGGGATGATGGTGTCGTTGGGGTAGTTGCCGTAGTATGGCCAGTAGTCTTCCGGGTGGTTCTTTCGATATTCTGAAGGGATGAAGGTTCCTCCTGTAGCGGCGTCGAGGATGAGCAGGATTGCCGTCATCAGGCCAAACAAAAGGATGGCTGCCGAAAGCACGTTTTTGGTTTTATAGTGCTTGATGAGGGGTCCGATGAGGATAGAACCAACGCACTGCGTGGCCTGGTTCAGTCCTTGGATCAGGCCCAGTCGCTCGAACGTTCGCGACGGGGTTCCGGCGGTGGTGCTCTCGTAGTCGTATCTGTTGGTGACCAGGGCAGTGATGGAGCCGTTGAATGCCTCTAAGCCGAATTTATAGAGCATGATGCCATAGATGTAGAAGAAGATCGCCTTGCGTTCTTGGGGCGAAAAGGACCGGAGCCTGTCGCGAAACCCGTTGAAGACCATGGTGGGCAGTGGCGACGAGGACGGTCGAGGGTAACAGTGACGCGGACGATGGTGGCGACTGGTAACAGTGACGAATGTTAACAGACCGAGGAATCGTGATGGGAGCTCCTCGCCATGTGCTGATTGTTAAGGGCTGCGGAGAGGATGAGAAGTAGGAAGGATATGTCGCGGTCTTATTCCCAGCTTCTTTGGAAACCAGCAGGGTAATTGGGTGTTTCCCGCCAGGTGTGCATGACAATGCGGTGCGTGACGCTGATCCGAACGTCTCCATTTCGGGTATATCGAAATCACAACCGTCGGTATCGGTCAATGTTCATCTACTAGGTGTTCAGTAGTGTTCATCCCTCACGTTTTCTTGGCATCCGTACCTGGCCAAGATTCACCATCATACATCTCCTCACGTTGCCAAGAATCGGGCGGCCTCTTCGTCCCAAGACTTTGTGCCTGGAAGGAGCAAGACAGATGAGAACCCGGTGAGCCACTTGAAAGTTTCGCTTCGGCAACGTGCGTTGTGCTCAAAGAATGCGTGTGAAGCTGCCTCACAAGGTTGCTGGTGGCGCAACTTGAGGAACCTTGGGATCAACCAACATAGATAAGGTGACTTTGTTGGGGCTTGCTTATTGGTCACATTCATAGATCTTCGTCAGAAAAGCAGACGACGATGGTAGACAATGATAGTGGGCAGCGATAGTGGCCGACGACGATAGTTGAGGCGACAGCAAAGGCGACGAGGGACACCAAGACCACGACACAACTGACGAGAAAAGCAAACTGCCATGTGCTCGAACGGTTGGATGGCAGCTTCTCAAGAACTCTGGGGTTTTGCGCCATTTTGCTAAATGCCAAGCCACGCCAGAAGCATAAGAAGCAGCCATCTCGCCCTCGCCCGGCTTGCCAAGAGCGCAGCATTTGCCAAGACATTGAACTGCCATCATGTCCCTCAGCGAACGACGACATCATTAGACTGCCGAACAAGCATTGGAGCGAAAACACAGCCTCCTTCGACAATCACCCAATCAGTCGATCCAACACTCGATCGTGATCTTGGACGTCCTGATGCACAGCCCCCCACCACATTAGACGACGATAGCAGACGACGACAGTGAATGACAGCAGCAGAGCTGACAGCGACAGTCGAAATGGCAACAACAGCAGAAGCGGCGACAACAGCAACGAAGAAGATAGAGAAGAAGACGTAGTGGCCAGCATGGTGCGGAGGATTCGAACGCGAATAGTCAGAGTTGGATTGCGAGCGAGAGGTTGAACCTTTTTAAGCAGTTTGTGAGAAAGATGGTTCTGC